TGGAGCTGCCGGGGCCGTCCTGGGTACCTGGCGAGGAGAGTGAAGCTACACAGATGGAAGCACTGAGACAGCAGGGATGGGAGAGAGCCGCAGTGACAAGGTCTGAGCCCCCAGCCGCAGCTGTGCCTGGAGCGAGCCACATTTGGACTTCCCAGTTTCGGGAGCCAGTGAATTCCCCACTTTGTGAAAGCTACTTTCAGTTGAGCGTCTCTCGCTGGAAAGCATCCAGGCTGACACTAGAAGGTTGAGCAACTTGCCCAAAGCCTGAAAGGTAGCAAGCAGCAGACCCAGGGTTTAGAAGCTTCTAACCCACTGCATTCAGACCAACATTCTATATTGGGCTAGTCACTGATTTCACCTCTTTTTACCCATTTTCTCATCACAAAATGGAATAACACCAGACTTTTGGGACTGTTGGAAAACATAAAATGCGAGATCAGAACTTCCCTGGCCGTCAGTGGTTAAGACACCACACTTCCTCTGCAGGGGTGCAGGTTCAATCCCTGGTCAGGGAACTAAGATGCTATGTGCCACACAGCCAAAAAAAAAAACTCTTTTTTTTTTTTTTAAGAAAAAGCCAAAATAAACTATTTTTTTAAAATAAAATGCAACATCACACCAAGCATGTCTGTAACCCATGGCTGAAGCTCTCTCTATGCATCCAGTTTCCGTGCTGCGGGCCTGGGTTTCGTCCCGAGTCAGTTAGCCCATCTCAGGGATGCATGTGGCTGTCACTGAATCAGCCAACCGGCTCAGGTGCCCAAACCTCTTCAGGACGGCAGCTGTGAATCTCGGAGGGAAGGGCCACGTGCCTTCTCGGCTGTGTGTCCTCACTGGCAGACAGAAGGAGCTGGGGGGCCCTGAGGACTCTAGAGGTCCGAGTCGATGAGGTAGAAAAAAGCCCTGGTATCTTGATTTCTGGAACCTTCTTGTGTGCCTTGTGGGTCTTGTGGGCCCATCTGGGAACGACCTGTAGGTCAAGGAAGACAGCCCTGAAGCAGATAGACTTTGTCTTTTTTCTTCATGGAGTTTACATGCAGTGGTAGACGGGAACACGTAGAAAAATGTATGACATGACACCACGTGGTAACAGTAGGGAGAAAATATGTCCTCAAAGGCCTGATAAGTGCTAAGAAGAAACAGGGATTTGGAGCACTGTTTACTCGGGGGCATCGGAAGGGGCCTCTCTGAGGAAGCGACATAGCATCAGAGACTAGTTTGACTTCTCCCAGAAAAAAAGACCAGGATGGATTTTTACCAAGAAACTTGCTGACACTGCTAAGTCAGGAGTCAATGATGTGTCCGAGGCTTGGTAAACAGCCATCCTTCTCTACTGACAACTCTTTAGGACATTTTTAAAAGTTTAATGGGTCATTGATTTCCTCCATTAGCTAAATCTGTGAAGGAAAGACCCGGGAAATCGCGTGAGACCATCCCTTAGGCAGGCCTGCCAGGAAGAGGTTTTAGCTATCATGACACATGGTCATTTGTTTATTTTCTAACCGGTCATCACTAAAAGATTCCCCAACATCACCATCACATCTCTAGGGGATAGCAAGGCTTGGCTAGTTCTAGGTCAGGCCTTGGCAGGGAACTGGCAGAGTGTTATGGACAAGAGCCAAGCCTCAGAGAGCCGCAGAAGATTCCAGCACCTCGAGTCTCTCCTCCCAACCCAATATCAGGGGCTTGGGACACGGCCCAAGAGGTTGAGGTCCCTACCCTCATGGAATGCTTTAGTGGTGGGGTGGGGGGGCAGGAAAAGGAAACAAGCCAACAAATAAAGAGGGGGATTTTACAGAGAGATGAACTCTGTGATGCAAAAAAAAAGAAAAAAATACAAGGTCACTATTAGAGAGTGACTGGGGTCTATTTTGGAGAGGGTGGTTAGAGACCTGTCTGCAGAGGACATTTTACCTGGAATTTAAAGGGTGAGAAGAGCCGCAAGAAGATTCGGGCAGCAGGAAAAGCTGGTGCAAAGGTCCTGAGGTTCAAACTCATTCAGTGAATCAGCGAATCGGACTAGAGTACAAAAAAAGGAGAGAGCTTGGCAAAATGGACCAACATTAGGACTTTTTTGTTTATGTTTCATTCTAATAAGGATGGGTGGGTAACTACTGGAGGATTTTACATATAAGTTTTCATGATCTAAAAGTTAAGAGCATCTTCTGGCTGCTATGTGAAGAATGGATATAATAGTGACTAGCTGAAATCTGAAGTGAGAAGTTTCATTCAGGATCAATATTGTGACAAAGTTTTACCCTCGGCCATTGTGGTAGGTTGAGTGGGGGGCCTCAAAAAGATATACCTGAGTCCTATTCCCAAGAACCTAGAATGTAACCTCATTCAGAAAAAGTCTTTGCAGATGTAATTAATTCAAGGATCTCAACATGAGATCATCTTGGATCACCTGGCCATGCAAAGTCACCCTGCATTAGAGTAGGTCTTAGACCCAATGACAGATACCGTTCAAAGAGTAAGGCAGAGGGAGATTAGACAGCTGAAAGAGGAGAAGAAAATTGAGTAAAGACAAGACAGAGACCAGATTTATGCTGCCACAAGCTGAGGAACGATTGAAGCCACCAGGAGCTGGAAGAAGCAAAGAAAGATTCTCCCCTAGAGATTTCAGAGGGAGTGTGGCCCTGTCAACACATCGACTTCAGACGTCTGGCCTCCAGAACTGTTCAAAAATTTTACTTCTGCTGCTTTAAGCCAACAAGTTTCTGGTAATTTGCTAGGGTCACCCTAGGTAACTAATACACCCGCTAAACGCGCAGACCCTGCACCCCGCCACACTCCTTCGCCAGGACCCTGAGCACAGCGCTGGCTCCACTCGAAAGTCGCTCCCGTCACTGGGTGGCAGGAGGGCCACTTGGGCTCCATATGGGCATTTGATTTATTTACTTACTTAGCCCAGCCCGTGTGAGAGGAATGAACCAGCCTTGTTCTCTGTTCCCTTCAAGGAGCTCTTCTGTGAGTTCCAGACAAACTAGCACTTAAAGAAACAAGGGCAGGAAGAGTTCACGGACCTGGAGAGTCAAATAGCTAGGACTTATACTAGACAACTGCCAAGTGTGGGGTTCCCAAACTTTTCACTTGAAGGGACATCTTTTGTTAATTTCCCCCTCCATGAAATAGTTTCTAAAGACACTGCCTACCAAACCAATTGCATTTACTCAATAATAATTTACCTCCCATTTGCTGTTATTTGATGGAATGTAAATAATAATGGGGGCTCATATTTACTGATCCACCCACTAGACTAAAAGAGCAGTGCTCTGTGTGTGCTGAGTTGCTTCAGTTGTGTCTGACTTTTGCGACCCCCATGGATCACACCCTGCCAGGCTCCTGTGTCCATGGGATTTTCCTGGCAAGAACACTGGAGTGGGTTGCCATGCCCTCCTCCAAGGGATCCTCCCCACCCAGGGATCGAACGCCACTCTCCTGTGTCTCCTGCATTGCAGGCAGATTCTTTACCGCTAAGCCACCAGGGAAGACCCCCAAAACACTATACATATTCTTTCAATCTTCACACCACCCTATGAGGTGGGTACTTTTATTATCTTCACTTCACAAAGGAGGGAACAGAGGCAGACAGCGGTTAGGTAATTTGCCCAAGGTTGCACAGCTAGAATTATATTTAATAGAACTGCAATTTGGACTTAAGCAGCCTGGCTCCAAATGGTGTTTTCCCCTGGAGACTGGGTTAGAATCCTGGCTTCCATACTACCCATGTGCAAAGGTACCTTGGCCAAGTGATTTTGCCTCCCACAGCCTCAGTTTCCTCATCTATAAAATGAGAATAATAAAAGTGCCTATATTGTAGGGTGGTTGTAGAGATTAAATGAGAAAATGTACTTGAAATGCCAGGCACAGTGCCCACCTAAGCACTCAAGGAATGAGCTGGAATTCAACACAACTCTTGGGGAGGCTTGAGATGGGAACAGTGAAGAGAGATGACTCCTTCCTGTAGGGTCTCTGACCCCACGAAGTTCACAAAATCTAAATAAGGTGCCAGAGCCAAAGGTAGATGGCTTATAGTAGAACCTGCGGGAAAGCAAATTGACCAGCCCGTTTCATGTGCGCTTCAAGGACCACAGGTACAGAATTAGCTGGGTTGGCGGGTGAGAAATACACATTCCTGTATCCGAATCTTTTGGAGGTCGGCCCGGAAACCTGCCATTATTCAACACTATTGCACCGTGGAATGTGTGCTACACTGAGTCCAGTCTGAGCAGGACTTCCTTGCTATTTTGGGAAATACTGAAAATCATTTCAAGATCCCAATCCATTCATTTCCGCAGCGCCCAGGAGACTCCAAAACGGAAAGTACATTCAGAGAATAGCGGGGCCTTTCCCAACAGTCTGGTAAACCATGAAGCGCTAAGTTTCAAGAAACCAGGGCGGACATCGGGCCAGAGAAGGGAGCCTGGAAGGGGAGCACGTAACGCCCCCTTGCTCCCCGCGCCTCCGCCAGCTTCGTTTGAGCCCTGAGACCTAGGCCCTGGCGCTGCAGAAAAGCAGCATGATTGCTTCAAGGTCACTCGAACCCAACGCTCCGCGTCACGGCCTGTGCTCAAGACGCGTGGGCGGGGTGGGGGGGGGGAGGCATGCAAACCCACGCACCGTAGGCGGGGCGCCAGGGGTCGCCTAGGCAACGGGGGCGCGCCACGCCCAAGCCCGGAGTCCGGGAAGGGAGGGGGGAACGCGCGCGGCAAGATGTCTGCCCAGGCCCCGCCCACGGCCCCGCCCCGCGGAAGTGCTCGCCGACACCTACGAGTGCTGATTGGCCCTCCTTGCTGAGGGGCAGAGCTCGCGGCAGCGCGGTGCGTACTTCCGGCTGCCGGGTTGACATGAAGAAGCGGCGGCGGCGGCGGCTGAGGCGGCGGTAGCGGCGGAGCCGAGGCTTACGGGGGACTTGGGGCGGCGAGCGCGACGCGGCCTAGAGCGGCAGACGGCGCAGCTGGGCCGAGGGAGAGGCGCGGCAGCCGCCCCGGCCCGTCATGGAGATGGAGAAGGAGTTCGAGCAGATCGACAGAGCTGGGAGCTGGGCGGCCATTTACCAGGTGCGGGAGCGCCCCGGAGCGCTGCAGGCCCTCCCTGAGGCCTCGAGAGCCTTCCCCTCACACACGCCGCCCTGGGCCCGGGTCTCCCTGTGCGTCCCGCCCTCCGCCTCGGTCACCGCTGCTTGAGGACGCGATCGGACGGCGGCCGCGGCCGGTGCCCTGTGTCTTTGTCCCCTGGGCGGGCCTGCGTCTCTCCCGGGACTCACAGCCCCCCGTTGACCCCCCCACCTTCCTCAGGTCCTCCAGCCCCGGCTGACCGACCTCGCGAGCCTGGAAGCCGCCGGCCTCCGCTCTCGGCGCGAAGCCTCGCACCCCGACCCCGCCCCCCTGCCCGGTCACTCTTTGTCCCCTGGGGTGTTGGGCAGAACGCCCCCCGCCCCCACTTCCCTTCCTAGACCGGACCACCGCGGACTGTCTTCCTTTGTCTCCCCGGGGGGAGAGGAGGACTCCCGCCCTGCCTCTTTTACATTTCCTCTCCCCCTAATCGCCGTGCCGTGTCGAGTCCCAAGGATGACAGTCCCTTCCCCTTTCCTGTTCATTCATTTGATGGATCTGCATCGGCGTGCCTCTTACCGTGCTAGGCACTGCGGAGGCGCTGGAAGTAGTGTTTGCTGAACGAGACCCGCGAGATCCTATCCAGCCCGGGAGCTTAGAGTCGAACGGGGGCAGTCAAACACGTGAGCAGATCGTTTGAAGTGGTGACAGGGGCTACGAAAAAAACAAAATATCAGCGGGTCGAGAGTGACTTCAGGGGAGAGGGGCTGTCTCAGAGAAGGGGATCAGGGAAGACCTGTCAGAGGAAGAGGCATTTGCTCCGTGAGCTCAGCCTTGAGAATATCAGACTCAAGCGCTTTCCAGCCAGGAGGCCTGTAGCACCCACTCCATTGGGGCCAGAAGGTTACCCCGCGTCAGGCAGGCAGCGCGGGGGGAGGTTAACGTTTTTAACCTTCTCGAAACAGTATCTAAAATTTTCTCCGGCGAGCATCTGACCCTTCGGTCAGGGTGGAGATGATGTTTTCGCAGTCCTCCTCTCCTTGTGGGCTATGGTGGTTCATGAATAAAAACTTAAGGAGGTGGGGTTTCTCCCATATGTCTGCATCATCAGCTAGAAAAGATGAAGAGGTCTGCTTTCAGGAGCAGCGAAATCCTGTGAGGAAAATGTGTTGCTCCCGATTAAATGTCTTTGCGGGGGTTGTGAGGATTAACCAAAAAAACCACACTGGGTGTTTTAAATAAGCGATGTGCAGAATAGAGAGGTGTTGTTACTTGTGTAAAGCGAGAAGGCTGTCTTCGGCTTATAGGCTCAAAAGGCAAATTGTGAGACCCATCAGCTGGTAGTATTAACGTCTATTTTGAGCTCCACTTAAAAAGGAAAAAAAGCTTTAAGCACTTCTTTGGTATGCTTGACTAACAAAAGCCTTTTTTTGGCAGGCTTGGTTTCATGTGGATTTGCATCAAGCTTATTTGACAGGATTATTTTTACTTGCACTGTAATGTATATTAGCTTCTGATAGACTAATGTTTATAACCACTCTAATCTGTATAAGTACGGTCGATCAATATATAAAATTTGTATTCCATGTCTAGTCTCTCTGAGTGAATTGAATGAATTCCACGAGTGACTTTGAGAATGTGTAGACAAGTTTTTTGCATCAGATTTAATACAGTATAGTAAAGTGGTTTTAAATGAAAAAATTCTTCGTCTGAAGTGTTGAAGTTGATTATGATGTGCCCCGTCTCAAGTAGGGGTGGCCTCCAGGAGGTTTGAGGGAAAATCTTTTATATGGAAACTGACTCAGTTGGCAACAACAAATTCATATTATAAAAAGCCTTTGGTTGAATTTGATTTGTTTTAGGGCAGAGTGAGAGACCTGTCACCCAAGCATTATTAAAACTGTGTTAAGCAAGCCACTAGCGTGGAGCATGGTCTTCAATTAAACTTCCCTCGTTCTTAAGTTTGTCTACCACCTTGAAGTCCCATGAGTTATATGTTGAGATTTCTCTAGACTCATAATTGATTGCCACATTTCTGGAGGTGGTTTCTTTTATCTTAGAGAATTATCCACTCAGGCTTTCTCACCTTTGCAGTACAGATATTTCTCTCTTACAAAATCGAAATTAGAAGCTCTTTTCCTTCTTAACATTAAAAGTGTTAATAGCCAACTGTGGCATTTTAAAACAATGTAGAATTCAAATGACCTTGAGTTTAAAGTGGCAGATTTTCCAAAGAATATGTCAATTTACCAAAACCATTATTTTTCAGAAATTCAAAGAAATGTGTTTATGGTTGGTAGAAAATGGAAGTTAAAAATATTTTCTGGCATGTCACAAGGAAGGCAACTTTCTACCAAGCCACTTTGAGCTTGCTTAGTCTATTGTGATTTAAAAAATAATACATAATTTTTGTAAACAAAGCAGTGCAGTTATTTCTCACTATACTAACTCCTAACTGAAACAAAAATATGTAAAAACTCAGAAACAATGGGAAAAGAACACAGGATGAAGTAGACTCTTACATGGCAGCTTAGAAAACACATGTTTCAAGCAAAGATTCTCTGTTGATTTGATAAAGTGAGTATAACTGGTTTTAGTCGTTAATGCTAATAAATAGCATAGACATTGATAAGCATTTAGGTCTATAAAAAGTCAGCTCTGAAAGCATGTGCAGATGGCTTTAAAAATTGTTTTCTATCATTTAAACGATTGTATGTCTGGTTTGAAAAGTGGAAGTAGTACATAGCGGGCCTTGAGTGCTCAAGAGAGAAGAGATGGGGAAAGGGATTGGTTTTGGAGCTAGAATGAGAGAAGAGTGGGCTTGAATGAATCAAAATAGGAAAAACTGCGCGTTTGTAATTTAAAGTTGGGGTCAGGTATTTTCACTATTTCTCTCATCTTTAATTCTTTGATTCTCTGACACTGTTCACTACTTCTCGGTATGAATGATTTGATTGTCTCAGATAAAAGAGATTGCAACAACAGCTTGTGACTCGAAGGCAAGATTTATTCTGTGTTAGAGGCAGTCTTTGTAAAATAGGCCACTCTCCCAATTGACATTTGTTTTTATAGCTGCTTTCATTGTGAAATACGACTTAAAGCCTGACTGTGTTAAAACCATGTTGTAACAATAGTCCACTAAAATTCCTTACTGTTCTATATTTCTTGTATTGTTATAGTCTAAGGTGAATATTAAAATTTCCTAATAATTTTTATATAAATATTATGCTCTTCAGAGAAAAACTATGTTTTGTACAGAGGAAGAGATCTATACACTATGACTCACTTCACTTAAAAAAAAATAAGACAAACGGAAATGACATGGAGAGCTTGGGAAGCCCTAGTCATCTTGAGTGACCCATTAGGTCTAAATGTTCTCTTGTAGCCCTGGTTTGAGTGCACTAAATTTAGGTGTCTGATCCCCACTTTGGAAATGTGCAAAGACGCTTGTAATTGTCTGGACTCCTCTTAGATTAACAGGGGGTACAAGTAGAAATAGTGAAAGGAGGAGTGTTTTGCTGTCATTATTTGTTTGACATCACTGTTGTATTTATAGGAATACATTGGTTCTTTTGGAAGTACATTATAAATCGTACCAGATGGTTCTAAAAAGTCAGCTGGCGGATAACGTGTATACATGCACGCACACGTATGTGCTTAGTCGTGTCCAACTCTGTGTGACCCCATGGACTGTATCCCGCCAATATAGTGGTAATGCAAGTGATTTTCAGTTATCTACCATTGGGCTCCAAAGTCTCTCCAGTGCATTTTGCATTTTAGCACAAATAGCTCTCCCAAATCTATTTTTTAAAAATTCTGGTATTGAGTAATGTAATTAATGTATATTGAATTTCATGATAAATCTTTAAATTTCCTGTAGGGGTTTTTTCATTCTCTGAACTGCTGAAATAACTGTGTCTGCCCCATGGCGCCTGCCCCCCGCCCCCCCCATGGCCGCCTTTTTTCTTTTTTTTGAGTTGTCTGTTTTCTGATCATTTAGGTTGCAGAATCCTTTTAGCAGTTTTGGTCCAATGCTGTGCTCTTAATGGCATGTATTTTTCATCAGCCTACCTGATGGCGTGTGAGTTTTGCACAAGCTGGCATCCCTCCCTACAGTGTTTATGTTAATTTGTTCATGGTAACCAGCTGATACTGACTGCAAAGAGGCTGGGCATGTTCCCTTGTACTGCCCCTGCTCAGGAACAATGGGAAGTCCAGCTGGGTCATTGTGTCCAAGACAGTGCAGTTTGGTACCAGTCATTCGGTGCACATTTTGAACATCCAGGAGTGCTGGGAACTTTGCAGTGGTTCTTGATTCCCTCTGCCACATCTTACTGCCTGGTCACTGTGACATGCTTCCTGCCATCCCAATGGTCTCAGTTCTCAAATTTTACCTATGCTGCTACCGTTTCTGGTTTCGCATGACAGAAATTAGTGAAACCAGAAATAACTAATAAGGTCCCTGAGCAATCTCTCCACATCTTCCCCCGCCCTACCGGATGTGTTCTTCACATTATCTCTAGAGTAATTGTGTTAAAAACAGACCTGAGCCTGTCTCTCCTCTGTTTACTTCTACGCTGTCCTTTATCAGTGAGGTCCAAACTCCTTGGCATGGCAGCCAGGCTCCAGCCTTCCTCTCTCTCCCATGTACCTTTTATTGTAGCCACCCTGGAAGGTGCAGTCTTCTCCAGACTCACCCTTCTCTCTCGTTCCTCTGTCCCTTGGCTCAGCACTCTGTTTAGGCTGCCAGTCCCTCTTTCTGGCTTAGACGCATGCCCCTCACACTAGATTTTGGCCTTCTCGCTTGCCGTGTCCGTACACCTTCACACCCATCTCTTTCAAAGCCGCGTGCTCTCACGGGAGTGGTTTCTTCGCATCTGGGCGCATCTCCTGTAGAGTCGAGCTGTGGAAGTTGGCTCTTCATCTTTCTCGTTCATCTAGGTGTGTGTTTTGCACTTGCCACAGGGTGCCTTAAGAAATGCTGGGGTCGAATTGACTGTCAGCAC